GTTTAGTGCTAATTAGCAATTGTTTGCATACTAACGAGCTAAGCGTTACCATATTAGCATTGTCATTGTGAGCATGTTAGCATGCTATTGTTGTCATTTAGCATAAAGCCCTAAACAGCCTCACATAGCATAGCTGTAAACTGTTAGTCTTGTTTAAAAATGAAAATATACATTTATTCCTATTTTTAAAAGATATAAAATGTGTTATATGTAGACGGTCCATAACACATTGCTGATTTAAGTTCAGAGAAAACATTTTTAAACTTTATCTACCAGACCCTGAAAGAAGGAGTGAATTAAAGATTCATCAGGTCATTTGAGCTTTCCAATAAAATGCAGACGTGTAAAATCCACTCTGAACTTCTTTCTACTCTCCCAGGCAGTATACTTGTGATAGACTCTGAATTGGTTATTGTGAGAGCCCAGTGGGAATCAATGTAACAGATACTGTGGAAGGTGTTACATTCAATCACAGAGCTAGTGGTGCTCCACTTTTAACTTTCCTTTTCTGTGTCATCATTTGTAGGCATGAAATAATTTCATCATGTCAAAGTGTGTCATCAGAAGGTGTATCAACATGTGGTTAAGTGTCTACGCATAGATGTTATATCTTTTTATTACACACCGGTCCCAATGCACCTGCATAATAAACCTAGAATACCAAATTCAGCCTTTTTGTTCTTCAGTGTGTAGGCAGTCAGTTACTCTCACAGAAAGAGAAACAGCAACCAGCCAATTATTCTTGTGATTATTACTACAAGGAAGTGGATGGACCTGCATGTTATTGATGTCAGAGAGAATGTCAATGGACTTGTATTTCAGACTAATAAATACTCTTTGCACTACTGGCCCTGGATTTTCAAGGGATTATGCGAGTGCGCTTTCCATCAGCAATGAGCTGTAGTCCTCCACAGTCTATAATGTGAATAGTATGCATGCAGTCATATACATATGAATATGTAAGGAGGGTATCCAAGTGTATGTATGAGCATCTGTGTGGCTGAGTGTGTGTTCAGGAGTGTGTTTTACGGGCTTGATGATGGAAAGCTAGCCCTCTGCAGACAACCTGTGCTTATTTTATGGCCTCCTCCCCAGCTGCAGCATGTGGGCAATAAACCTTTCTCCAGCAATCTCCAAACAGTGCAGCAATCAATGGGAAATTATCTCAGCCAATCGATGGGCCAGCCTTTCTATTTCTCCCTCTCTCTACCTCTCCCGCTGTCCTATCTGTATCCTTTCTCCAAGCACCCCTCCCTCTCCTCATCCCTTCTGTCTCATTTTTGCTGTCTCTCTGTTTTTTCCACCCACTCCTTCACTCACCCCCTCCCCCACGTTTACTTGCATTCCCTCCAGCTCTCTCAGCTCTCTCAGCTCTCTCAGCTCCGCAGCACCTACTCTGAAATGCGACAGCTCAGCAGCTCCACAGCCATTAACAAAAGTCGCCTTCACCCATGGAATATGTAACATTGCTGGATTGACTTTCCTGGTGAATATAATGAACCTCACTTGTTCATACAACCAGAGTACTCCCTCTGACAGTTGTGACAACAAGACCCACTTACTGTACCCTGTGTTGTTGTTGTCCTTGGTTGTTTGTGGCCAGTTGCACAAAATCTGATTATGTTTCACTTAAGGGTGTATTTATATTAAGTTTAGGAAATGGTCAAACGGACACTTCTCAAACAGTTTTCATGCATAGGAAAAAATACTAAGTGGTTTCCAACATTCAGTCCTTTAGGCAGCGTAAATACTCTCAAGTTGCTATGGTGACAGAAATGGCATGACAGTTAACTCTTTCTGAGGCTTAACACTGAGGAAGCAGACTAACAGTGTCTACACTCAGATTACTACATCTGTTAAAAAGACTCCAAAGCATCAAACAAAGAAGATTATTTAACTGATATTTTTATATTAACCTTGTCGTGTTATTTTTACCACCCCAGCTGCTTTGGTTCACTCTCACCGCTCTCAGAGCGCATTTTCGGCCACAGCAGTCAGCTGTTGTCAGAGAAAAGGCTCTAAAAACTGACTGTAAGCCACCTGCCGAGTACTTAATGGCAGACAGACACAGTTTGGCGACTAGCTGGTGAACATAGTGGAGCATTTAGCAGCTAAAGAGCCAAATATTTCTCTCAGGAGTTGAAGACAAATACACAGTGGATATTGAACTTACATTTGCCAGGTGGTGATGACTTTGAATAAATGCTAATGTTGCCTCATGGCTGCTAGAAGTGTGAATAGGCAAGTGTTTAACAACTTTATAAGGTGATAATATGTCAGTGTTGTGTTTACAGCTTGTTGCTCTGCTCCCAGTTGGGCAAAACATAAATTCATGCATCCTTCCTAAGTAGAGCTTTTGAGGTAATTTGTGAAAGTGTCATGTAAGAAAATCTTAATATGTATCGCTACTGCACCTTTTTTAACATAATGTGGTATGAGTTTATCAGCACTACTGGGATCAATGTATGGTATTGCAACTCTGTTATGAGGTGGTAGATCAAAATCAAGCACTGCAAATACATGAACAATTTAGCCTTTTGTTGTGAATTGTTAAAGCAACAGTGTGTAGGATTCAGTGGTATCTAGCAGTGAAGATGCAGATTGCAACCATTTTACTACAGCTCAGCCTTCTTAGCATGTAGGAGAAACTATAGTAGCTGCAAAGCTTGCAAAAAATGCGATAGCTATCTAGAGAAAAAAAATAATTTTCTAAACAGTGTATTTTGGCCAAATGAGTGCAACTGCTAAATCAGGGCTGCACAATTAATCAAAATCATTATCCAAATCGCAAGAAGCTGCAATTGTTTGATGAAGGTAAAATATAAGACAGCTGCATTATAATTAAGTACTCTAGCTCTGAAGAGATGCCCTGGCCTACAAATCCTGTTCTACAAATGTAAGAAAACATGTTTCTTTGGTACTACAGATCCCAACAGATGTCACATCTTCATGATTTTAGTCATTTTTTCAGTGAAAAATGAAATCATAAAATGATCATTCCAACTAATCGTGAACCATATCGAACTATCTGTCAAAATAATCGCAATATGACTTTTTTGTACCATATTGTGCAGCCTATGCTAAATGCTTATTCCGTGACTGCTTGTTTTGAATCAGTTTGTTTCCATTCATGCCGATACACAACATCTCACAGAAATGTCACTATGTCATGACAAGGAAAACTGCCAACGCCAATTTTCCACAATACTGACTCCAGCTCTCACTCGCACAACACCCAAAAGGAAGCAAGAATGATGCATTTCTGTTATGTTGGATTTATCATTAAAGTAATCTTGGATAAACTTTTGGCAGCATTCACCCACAAATTCCAGAGGTATTTCCATGCCTAAGCAGCACTTGCTCCTGGCAGAACAGAAGGACACTGACAGCCATTGAGGCAGCCTTGGAAATGGTGAGCAAACAGCACTTCTCCTAAACACCTTGTTTGTGCTGCTGCTACCCACAGAGTTCAGCCATAACGTGACAACATGAAAAGAAAGCACAAGTGACAACCACCACCCCTGCCTGTCACACTTGTATCATTTTTTCCCTTGCCTCAGCCAAGGGGAAAACAGCCAGCTAATGTGGTGGTTTGACAAGCAGGAGTCTTGTGTTAGGCAGAAAGACACAGGGTTATTATGTGCCTTGCAGTTAAGGAAAGGGTCAACATGGTTATCAAAACCCAGCAGAGGTTGTTTTGCACAGAGAAGGACAAAGCAGCAGGCCGTAGTTTGTGAGAATTAGCTCTAATGGAGGAATTTGAAATGTGGTTGATACTGGGATTGCTGTGTTGATAGAAAAGAGTGTCTGTTACAGTAGATTAGGAGGTCAGCTCCGGTCAGTGGCTGCAGGGGTTTTGTTTGCACACCATAGCTACAAGCATTTGTATAAATAGAAAGCCCTCGTTGAGATTCTCAGCTGTTTTTTATCTTTGTAAACATTCTCATCTCAGGTTCACATGAATTAGCGAGCAACAAATTATAACCGTGGAAATTCTCAGAACAATGGAGGCTTCTGTTTGGAGACGGTAGTCGGCTAATTAGCTGCAAGTTCGTGCAGGTTCTGGCAGGTGCCGTTAGTTGGTTCAGCTACAAAATCCAAAAGTATTAATGAAAGAATCCTTGACTGTTACATTCCCACTACTATTTACTGCATACATAAATTATGTTCATTTTCCAACTGAACATCGCAGTGTCCGTTTTTATGCTGACGATACCATTTTGTATGCTCCTTGCGCAAATCAGCCTGATTTTGACGAGCTCCAGTCCTCTGTTCATTTGAAACTCTTTGTTCCAAACTCCAAAAAGGCCAAATGTTTGAATTTCACAAGAGCATAGAAGTTTTGAACACATTAAACACCTCACTCAAAACCTTAAAATTCAAATTGACTTTTAATACAGAGTACAAAGTATTTGTCTCCTTTCAGAACAAACAACCTTTATACAATCCACTGTTCTATCTTATGGTGAAATCCTGTATTTTGCTGCCCCTACCACAGTGCCATTCAATTCATTACTCAATGAATGTATTGAGTAATGTGTGTGACTGAGTTGTGTTGTTGTAATGTTGTGTGTATGTTATTTGTTTAAGACCTAAAAACCTTACAAGGTGCTTGTAGCTCACTATTATTCTCTATTTTTCTTACTAACAGCACACATTATCATCCTCTCTGTCTGTGGTCTTTGTTACCAATGGATTATACTGAATGTCTATATGCTGAATTAAAAGCCACCTGATTTTGCTGCCAACAAAGGCTGTGGTCTAATCGCTCTTTGTCGTTGAATAAAAGGTCTCATTGGCCTTTTACCTCATCATCTCTCAGTCTGTCTCTCTCTCGCTCTGTGCGTCTCTCTTTCTCTCCACTGTCTATCCGAAGCCGCCTCTAATCAGCGGGCCTTGAGCTCTCAGAAAGGTCACTCTGTCCCTTTGATGGTGTTTTGATTCATCCCTTCCTCTTTTCTCTCCTCCCACCCTTCCCTTTCACCCCCTTTCTCTCGCAGGGAAGCTGGAGAGTCACTACCACCAGGGTGCCAAGAAGGGGCTGGTCCCATCAGCTGCAGAGTGACGTGAGAGGAGAAGCTGAGGAAGAAAAACAGTCTGATCTCACGAGAACATGGAAAATTATGTTCTATAATGATTGTCACATTCTCCATTGGGTTGTCCCAACATTGTATCAGGAGTTATCAATGCGGACATATTATCAATTTCAGCTCTGTTTCTGTTTTAAATCACTGGCATTTGCATTTTTGATAAAGAATATTGCTTCAAAGTATACAGTACATTGATATATAATCTTTTTGACCAATTTCTAAAGTCTGCTTTGTCTGTATTTGATTCTTTGCAGAAATAAAATGATCTGACGTTACATTTTGTGCTTTTCTTATTCCAATTAAAATTTGTCAAGCATAAAAGTTGATCCTGGCTTGTGTGCATAATCCAACATCACCCAGCAACACACTGTTTAGACTAATCAAATACATGCATGTGCACATTCCATACCTTGTAGTCTCTAAAAAGCATTGTGCTAATTCTGTTGTTTACCTCACAAGCACTGAGTGGGAGGAAAGAATTATTGCTGCCATGAAAACTTTTCAGAGTTGTAAAATCCTGCCTCAAGGGAGTAGAAACCACCCTCAGACTCGTGGACTTATTATTGGACCTAAATTTCTTGGATGGCATTTCATCTACTCTCCCGTACATGTAGCATCACGCCCAGAAAAGCCTTGGGGTTTTTTTTCAAATGCAAGGATACAGCATGGGTTGTCTCACCTGCGTCTGTGCTCCCTTGTGAACACTGGTTTCTTTAAAGGTACGGTATAAGCTGTAATGAAAATATGATGTCTTATAAATCACTGTAGCTTTTCTGGTACTGGCACAAAAATCAGTTTCCTGTTCAAAATGCCTGTTACCGGCTGTTTCCCTCCACCAGATTATGTCAGAGAATAAATTTCCCTACGGGGATCAATAAAGGATAACTTGTATCTTCATGTGTGCATGCACCGGCTCTTGTCTTCCAAATTATATCCAGTTTGTGTTCCTTCTTTTGAATATCTGCACAACATTTCAATCCGGGTCAGGAACTCAACCACTGACAATACAAACTAATATAGAAAGGTAACTAATTAATGTAAATGCATTCCTTATAATAAAAAAGGGTTTGATAAGATGAAAATCTTAAGGATTATAACTTTAAATGGATTTTTGTAAATTAACCTCACTTGTTGTAGATCACTATTTTTGCAATTGCAGGCAATGTAAAGTCTTAATTTCTCCCTAGATATTATTGGAGGCAACTTTCTGCCCCCTCAGCTATTAATTCCACTCTTGTTTATCACAAAGATGCTTCAAGATGATTGTACATCATCAGTATTGTATTAACTTAACTTACCGTATTAAGATAAATCCTGCAGGATTACTCCAGATTTTTCGCACTGTTGACTTTATTGAATCACTTTTAGTGCTTTTGAAACTCCAACAATGAGGCTTTTGCAGAACTACACTCACAAACCGAGATCTTGTATGAACTTCTGTGACCAGGTATGTACTCCTTAATAATAGTTTTGGTATGAAATGGGTTAGGTCTCCTTTTTAATCGTGCCAGCATCTTCACTTCCTTTAAAAACAAGCAGATGCCAAATCTTCGGTACAACTTCAAACTTTTGGGCAGCCTAACATGTACAGACTACTACAGAAATCATTTGTTTTCACTCAGGTCTTCTATGCTTTTATTTGGGTACACACAAGGTTTTCAACACCTTTATTATAAAGCCTTCCCCATGGTTCAAGTGCTGTTGTGACAGCCTCTGACTGATATTCTGCCAGTTCAGTGTAAGGCTGTGTTTCAACGTTATACCTGTTTTTGCATTGCTGTGTGTTTATTTCCTTCCAAATGTGTGAGTGGCTCTTTGACTAAGCTGATTTCTGCCTGAGGGCGTATTTCACCATGGTTTGAAAAGCATAGCATGAATCACCAGCACACACACCCATCCCGAGTTGTTATGTTTTTGCCTGTGCCTGGCATTGTAATTCGCTGTTGATTAGCTTAGATTTACTCTTGTTTGAGTTGCAGATTAGCTACAACTCTCTGCTCCACTCCATTCAGCATGAGAACGCATAATTGCACCAGCCCTCCCAGTAATCTTCCAGCCAGAGAATGTAAGAGGTCTCTTTTGTAAAGTTTCTCCATAGTAGGTGGGTTTTTTTTCCAGAGAGCCTGCTTAAGAATTTACTAAATTCAGCCCCCAGTGAATCAACAGTGACAGCTACTTGCCCTGTGGGTGGCCTTTTCTTCTGTCTAACAGATCAGGGGCATTTCTCCGGATAAGAGCAGACATCCAAGTTCACATAAACAAGGGCTCTGTGCTGTAATGCTGAACAATTAAGCACATGCAGTTTTTACTAAGCCTCTTTAGATAAAACCATAAGATCATGTGCTGTTGGTTTTTCATGCACAAAAGATGTGGAAGAAATGTTCTAGGTTTTCCTTTTAAATATCGAAACAGCCATGCTGCCTGTATCTGCAAGGGATGAAAAAGCAGTTATGTTAGTTAGTTAGCTGTTATTGAAGGAATAGTTCAACATTTTGGATGAAAGGACTTTTTGTCTGTTAAACATGAAGCTACAGACAGGAGCCAGTTAGCTTAACTTAGCACAAAGACTGAATACATGGGGAAAACAGCTGGCCTCCCTCTGTCAAAAGGTTAAAAAATCCACCTAAAGCTGACTAATGAATGTGTTACATCTAATTTATTTAATCTGTACAGAAACCCAAGTGTAAAAACGTCAATTTGCCATTTTACAGGGGATTATACTATTGGACTCTTTATTGTTCAGGCACAGTAACTTCCTGATGTCTCTGGTTTTCCTTTAGCAATTGTTCATAGTGAAGAAATAGTGCAGTAATTACTCCACGTAAAACCACAAATGTCATTAAACTAACTGACTTAACAGGTTGCCAGGTTGCCTGTATACCCCTATTTCCAGTCAGTGTGTTAAGCTAACTGGCGGCTGGCTGTAGTTTCATATTTCACAGACAAGAAGGTGGTATCAGTCCTCTCATCTAACTTTACACCAGAAAACAAATAAAGAGTCTTTCCCAAAATGTTGATATTTTGCTTTAAAACACACCAGCTTAGTATCAGTGTTGTTTCCATGCTGGTCAGTGTGCCTGAGGCTTCTTCTGTCGCAGCACAAAGTGACCACCCTGCTGTTAATGATGCCGGTGGATAGGGGAGATGGACAATTTCCAATTTTGAGCACAAGTAAGTACTTCAGCTAAAATCCCTGTCACCATCAGACTTTCATCCAATTAGCTATGGTTTGAAATTAAATTAGACATAACAAGGTAATGTGTTTCATCATTTGGGCTGAAAAAGATGCCCAGCTGAATTTCCTGATTGAAATTAAATGCAATTGACTCCAGTCCTGCAATTTGCCCTCCTCACCATTAAGCCAAGTTTCCAGTTGTAGAAGCAGCAGGACCTTTGTGTGCTTGCTGAGAGACTGATTGGACTGAGGGCGCAGGGTCCCATCCCCCCACCCCCACAGGCCTGGAAGAGGAATTAGGCTTTGGAGCACTTCAGAAGAGGTGCAATACAACCTGGGAACATGCTTGAGGCTCATCCATCTCACAATGTGTCACAGTACACTGCCTGTCAAGCCAGGCTGGATGTACAAAGGAAATATTTAGAAAAGGATTGTGTCAGTACCGGCTCATTGAAGAGAATTTGACAGCAGAATTTGATGCATTGAAATCATCACAATAGTCGCTCATTACCACCTCAGGACTTCACACATGGAGAACCTCACAGTTTTGCCAAGACATCAGAAAGCATGTCGTGGAGCAATTAAAGAAATAGTTGTCAGAAACATGGTTACTCACCTTCTTGCCGAATAATAGATGAGAAGATTGATACCTCTTAAAATCTTATCTTAGCGCAAAGACTGGAAACGGGGAAACTGCTAACCTGGCCGTGTGATTTTTACACTTCAGAACAAACGTGCTAATTATTGCGCTTTGAATTTGGTTGTAGGTGGATTTTGGTGCCATTAGACAGAGCCAGGCTAACTGCTAAGCTAAGCAAACCTCCTGCTGATTTAGCAAACAAACATTAGAGCGGCATCAATCTCCTCAGCAAGAAAGCAAATAAGCTCATTTCCCAAAAATGTTGACTGTTTCCTTTAATCTCTCACAGTTTTAGGACCTCTTACCTGGGATTGCCTGATACCTTTATCTAGGAACTGGGCTTTATAGAGTTGCTAGAATTCCCCATCCGCTTGCATTTGTACTGTCTCCAGAGTGTGTCATGGTTCGTCGGCTTTGGTTAGTCTAGAGAAACAAGGTGGGCCCCATCTGAGGAGGGGAAGCTCATGAACTTCTGGAAAGCTTTCATCCCTCGAGGCAAGTGAGTAAAATACAGAGATATCCAAGACGTGGATGCCTGTCCTCTCTTTTTGAAGAGATACGACCTGTTTGCCCTTGAGAGGGTGGGCAACGGTAAATGTTAATACCTCTCTGTGATCAAAGGCAATCTGTGTGGCGCAAATATCAGTAAATCTGCACAGTAATGAGAACGAACTGACTTCCTGTTTGACAGGAAAATTTGTCTTGAGTCCTCAAAAGGAGAGCAGATGCATAAATTCAATTAAAAATGGATTTCCCATCACAAATGGCTTTCTCTCACAGATCCACTGATAGGCGATCAATTTAGTCCATGACCTTTTGACCTTGCTGAATGAAATGGTACCTGTAGCAACATAAATGTGGTAGGTAATATTTAACCTTGTGGCTGCATCAGTTTCCCCCTAAGAGAAAACCATAGAAACACCCAGAGAAATAATAGAAACTCCAAATGAAAGAGACCCATGTGTGTATAATGTCCACAGAAAGCCCCCCACCAGGGCGTCTTCACAGCTTCTCAGAGGGATTTTTTTTTTTAACACACATGACGCCACACAGAAGACAGTTCAGATGATAGTCTGTCTTCAAGGCTTTTCCTGTCATGAGGGGTAAATCTCTGAACACAGTGATTTGTCAAGCTTTAGTCTCTTGAATATGTAAAATAGTCCCTTCCAGGCTTCTGTTTTCTCAGGAGCAGGCACTGTAACAGATACATAAAATGATTACTCTGGATTAACTATTAGCATATTGCTATATGATAGACAAAAAATGCAAACCTGTTTTTCTGCCACAGGCTTACAAAATATGTTCTTATTCTCACGACTGTTAAAATGTAATGATGTGACAGATGGGCAGATATTTAACAGAAACTGTTGAAATCTGGAGGAACAACAAAAGAAAAATTGCATCCTGACAATAAATCTTTCTTTCTGGATCTGTTACATTGGAAGAGATGTTTTACAAAT